AGGGGACCATTTGCCTGCCACATGAAAAGGAAAACTTTATTCCTTCACCTCACTCGTCTACAGCAGAAGGTGACAACAGAATAAAATTTGCTGACTGCTACAATTTTGTCTTATGGTTTTTATTTCGTGGGTAATGTTCTGATCAAAGAGTTATTTTCCATGTATTAAGCCACAAGCGCTTGACTGGAAGAAGCTGCACCCTGAGAACGAACCTGAGGGGCCTGCTCTGAGCTGCAACACTACACCTGCCCAAAAGCTGATCTTAAAATTGTCAAACCTATGTGGAGAGAGTTGAAAATTTGGGTTGCATAACAGGAAACCAAAGAATTTTCAAGAGGTTTGGTTTGGTTTGTTTTGTTTTAGGACATGTCAACCTCAGTGAATTATTTAATGCCAACAAGATTTTTAATGCTGGTAATATCTTTTCCAAAAATGTATTGTTGGTAATTTTTTTTTTCTTCAAAAATGTATTGCTGGTAATAATTTTTCCCCCAAAATTTATTGCTGGTATTAAAACCTACTTTTACACTTTCATAGTGTTTTGGCCCCAGTTTAGGAGTTAACTATTTACCCATAGTTAGGACCCTAACAGGTGCTACCACCCCAGGTCAAGGTGAACCTGGAAACACCAGCAATTAAGAGGTGGTTCCATACTTCTCAAAACCTCCCAATCAGAGGTCTTGCTGCTGGATGTAGTTTATCATCTTACCCAGGACGCAGATATAGTTTATCGTCTTACCCAGGACACCAAGAGTTTTGGGTTTACTGTCAAGAAGAATGGTTTTACATTACTGATGAAAGAATTTTTAATTTGTATTCCTCCATCCCATATTAAGTTGTAGCTTGTATCAATGGAAATCATGAAAAATATCAATTATGACTTTTAATGTTCTTGAATATATAAATAAATTTATTTATTGCAATATTTTTTCTTCCATTAACAAAGGCAATTAATTCTAAGCTTTCACTCATGGCTTATAACCTTTAGTCAGTTATGTTTAGGTGATCATGTATCTTTCAATACATGACTGACGAGGCAGATTTTTTCTCGCAGTAGGTCAACATTTCTTTCTGTGGTAGACCAGTTCCCATCCAAGGCTACAGAACCCGGTCTGTCCTTCTATTTACCCATAGCTTGGGGGAGAAGAAGAGGATCCATACCTTTCCCAAGGGTATTAGCACGTAAGTGAATGTAATGGATTCAACTGGAATTCGAACTCGGATCTCCGATTCCTCAATCTGAGCTGCTATCCATTACTCCACTGTGCCTCCTTATAATCTTTACATACCTTATTTTCAATATCATGATGTGTTCAGTTCTATATCTCTCTTTGTACAAAGTTGTTCAGTTCTTTGAAGACGCATCTTTTAATAACTCTAACTTTTTTTTAACTTGTTCTAATTATCATTTCTTTTTAGATAAATGATGGCAAACATCAAGCTAACCCAGAAAATGAAAAGGCAAAGCTGTAATCATAGCCTAGAGGCAGTGCATACTCATTTAGTGATTGCTCACTTCCTGAAAGTTACACGGTCATTTGTTGTCAAAGAGCTGGAAGCCACTGATAGAGATTCAGCAGTAGGTAACTGTAAAATGCCTGCTAAGGGTTCTAATACCATCAGAACACCCAAATTTGTACAAAAGGTGCAGGAAATTATTAATAAGACCCTCAGAAAGTCAACACCATTGCTAAGGTTCTTAAGGTTTCAAGGCACTGAAGAAGAATTATGCATGAAGACCTTCAATATAAGTCATAAGTGATATGCAGAAAGATCAATTCAGGTCTGTAACCATCTGATCTGCACAAAGCATTTGTTGAGCAAATTGAAACTTTTAAGAGCCTGGAATACTTAAGTTTTTCTCATCTGAGAATAACTTTGATCAGGACGAAAACATCAACTGAAGGAATGGCAGATGGTTAAGGATATTCCAATGGTAATGCACACAAAGTCTCCAGCAGCTGTGATGATTTTGGGAGTTGTAAGCAATGAGGGAGATGTCATATCCCTCTTCACTTCTTTCCTCAGGATTAAGGGTCAATGTTGCTGACTATAAAGCAATATTGGAGAGGGTTGTGAGGTCTTGGATAAAGAGCATGAGCAAAGGAAGACCATACACCTAACAACAAAACTCTGTACCACCTCATAAGGCCAAAATGACCTAAGAACTGATGAGTTACAATCTTCATGATCACATCACCACAAACATATGGCCTCCTAACTCTCCTGAATCCTTTGGACTACTTACATCATGTAAGTATAATACTGGGTCTCTATGAATGCAATAATGACCACATATATTAATCCAGAAAGTATATTGTCAAATATTTAAAGATTCTCACTAAGAATTAATCAAATTGATTTTTTTGGCTCAGTGACTTATTTATTTTCTGCTTCAAACCTGTTTCTACGATATTTATACATGATGACCCATCTCTCTAGACTAATGGTTAAAGTTAATAACAATTAATCAAACTTATCTCATTTAAATATTTATTTAGAATAACATAGTCTAGCACAAGTACCATATCAATGGGAAATTCAGTAAAAATCAGATATTTTATCAATAATAAGGTAGATGGGTCTATATCTCTGAGATGAGGTATTATGATTACTTGTATTATTTACATTATTTAGACTGTTATCCTCATCTTCATTGCCATATTCACAACGTTTTGGCTGTTGTACGCTCCGGCTTTCTTCAAGTGATCGGAATTTCAAATCAAACCCTTTATTTTGTCCGCCTGGTTAGATTGTCCTAGTTCCACATGCCATGCCTCTTTCAGATGTCCCAGTTTTTGGTTCACCACTGCTGTGGCCTGGTATTGATAAAGACATTGGTTAGATTCAGTGACTAGACCAAAAGAGTTGTGAGCTCAATACAAGACCACAGCAGTGGTGAACCAAAAACTTGGAGAGTTGAGTTAAAGGGAAATAACTGAGACATCCGGAAGAGGCTTGGCACATGGAACTAGAACAATCTACCCAATAAAGGGTTCAGTTTGAAATTCCAATCACCTGAAGAAGGCCAGAGCGTACAATGGCTGAAACATAGTGAATATGACAACGAAGATGAGGATAACAGTCTGAATAATGTAAATAATACAAGAAAGGGAGGTGGGATTATTAATCATTACTTTATGGCAAACATATTAATTGCTTGTTGAACAAGATTATCTTTCACCCAAACCTTATATACATTAACTCCTTGACAAAAGATAGAACTAATTCTTCTCTGACATGAGAATGACCAATTCTACAGAGTTTGTGCATTTCACAGCCAAGGTAAGAAATGGCACAAAACAGATTCAATTTGGAATATTTTATAAAAAATGGTTTCTTAACAGATCATGTTGATGTTGTTTATTGGGAGACAATGTTTCAGTTCATGGAGACATATAGTTGGCTTGAAACCAATCTTTATGAAATCAAAATATGCATTCTTTAAATAAGGGATCCCAGGAAATTAAATATTTTAAGGAAATTTAATCAAGAGTCACCCACAGGAGTTGTAAAGATTGACGATAGACTTAATGTCTACAGGATCCTGGCAATAAAATTTATTTATTTTATTCCACTGACTAGATTTTCATATTCTGTAAGTATTTTATCATATTTTTTCATCCATTCTTTGTGTATAAGAACTTCAAAAGCTTGTTGTGTATAAAAGGCTTGCAAGATAAGTATAACTTCAGCCTCACCAAAATTATACAAAGCTTATATATAAAGAATCAATTCTTTATTAATTTAAATTATAATCAAATTTATATTTGAGTTTCTAAATTTAATATGCAAGAAAGTATACATTTTATAACTTATTTAATTATTTATTAGGAACAAAACTGTGTTTATGAATTTAATGAAATTGATTCTTTATTTTTTAAAAACTATATTCAGGGTTTAATCAATACCATTTTTGGGGGAAGGGAGAAGATTATTTGCATCTTTGTTGTTGTACTTGTTGTTGATGACATTTCAGCTGGTTCATTTTCCAGCTGTCACTGAAATTTTGTCTGGTGTCATATTTGTGGTTATTATGCTTTGCATTATGGGAGATCACAAACAAGTAGTGTAGTTTTTCTGAATTATGTCCCCTGTTATTTATTTTATGTTTTTTTATTTTTCTTACTGTAACCATAATTTTTTTTTCTATATGATATTAATTTCCAAGTTTTTACATAGAAGATTTGGGAAACTACCACATGGCAATGATCAGCAAGCTAATCAAACCATTGCTAATGTAGCGATTTCAAAACACACACAATGTTGCAATAGTATAGCCTTCTGTAACGAATAAAACTCAATCAATACCAAATTACTTGCCATGGAGCAATGGTTATCAAATTCCAAATTGTTGTGACATTTTTGTGTAATTAGTATTAGGACCATTAGCAGGGATTTTACACTAAGTTTATTTAATTAGTGACTAAATTTTTCATTGAAACATTTTTTTTTTATATACATTGGCTAATTGATTGGCTAACAAAACTAAAGTAAGGTGTCAAAAAAGTTTTTATTTTGTTGCTAATGCAAAATGCTTGGAAAGCTCTGGTGTGGTGATTGATTTATTGATTGAATGAATGACTGATTGATTGATTGACTGATTGTTTGTTCGATTGATTGAATGATTGACTGAATGACTAATCGGCTGATTTATTGATTGACTGACTGACTGAATGAATGATTGATTGAGTGATTGATTGACTGAATGAATGATTGTTTGACTGACTGAATGATTGATTGATTGACTGAATGATTGATTGATTGACTGAATGAATGATTGTTTGATTGATTGACTGACTGATTGATTGATTGATTGACTGATTGTTTAATTGATTGACTGACTGATTGCTTTTATGCTTTATCAAAAGCTAGAAAATAGTTATACCTTTTCCAAGAGTATTTGTGCATAATTAAATATAATAAACCTGACTGGAATTGGAACTCAGCTCTCCAATTTCCAATTCCAAGCCATTATTCATTACAACACCCAAGCTTAAAGCACTTGGTATTCCCAAGTAGTTACCCATCTAGCTACTGATCAGGCTCAATGTTGCTTAACTTTGGTGATTGTATGATAACCAGTGTTTCAACATCATATGGCTGCAAGCAATCTGGTCTAGTATTAAATACTTAGCAGGTGCTCAAATATTGTTGACCTGTGCTAGACTAAGCTATATTTAATAAAAATCACCTTGAGAAATGTTGTAATTTTTGGCAGATTTTTATATTTTGCACAAAATTATTACCTGTCAAATATTTGCTAAACTTTTTTCAACAATATGACAAATTGTATTGAGTGAAAAAGAATTTTTCATTTAAAAGTCAAAGGATAAAATGATAAAAGTAAAACTGAAAATAGAAAACCCTCTTCCTTCAGAGAAATAATTTATTCACTTTTTTTATGGATACTTATGTAAAAGTAACAACAAATTGTTACAATTTTATTTAACTGTTGCATTATTGCCTGGCTGTGCTGGCCTGTTTTGGAAAAATGGGAAATCGTCATTTACTGCAAATAGATGGCTATAAAGATACTGATGGTAATTTCTCATGGGCGCTGCCATTTTGGCTTTAATCAAATACTCTGAAGTACCGACTAAGAAAGAGGGGGTGAATACTAAAAAATAAAATAATATATTTACTAATAAAACAATCTCAAATCAAGAATTTTTTTTGAACATACAAGTATGATTACCAAAATAAAGGAAATGTACGGAAAAAACTAGAAAAATGAAAGAAATACAAAGTTCAGTATGTAGCAAACTTGACAGAAGAGGAGGAGGGGGTGAATACTAAGAAATAAAATATTTACTAGGGAAAAAAAAAATTTCAAAAGGGGGTTGTTGTGGTGTAAATAAGATACCCGAGTCACACAAATGAACTAGGCAAGCCACCTTAAATAAAGAATTCAAAGTGAGTCAAGGAAGTCCACTGAAGTACCGACTAAGTTGAACGACACTCCCAACACATAGCATAATAAAAAAAAATGTCACATAACAGGTAAAATTGTAGACTATGTTTACATTGCTTTGGAAACAGCATTAAGCGCTAGGTAATTTCTAATACAAAAGTACCAACATATCAATCATGGTGTATTGAAACCTATTAATGTTTTTTTAATAATTTCATCCCAAGCAAGGCAATAAAGCCACTAAGACACAAGGGGTTACTGAGTGTGAAAGAATGAGAACAATGAAAGAAGACAGTAGATAACGACTGACATTCGTGTCTGACATCTATTGACGATGACACTTGTGCATATTATCCAAAAGAGGGAGAATACTTGGATCATTTGAGTCAAACCAGTCTTAAAATTTTCTCTTGATATATCCAAGATTTCCTGGGATGACTTATATATGGCACTTTTGAAAACAGATTCAATGTCTGAACTGACTGGGATATCTGCAAGATTGTTGTCACAAAGAGTTTGAAAAGATTTTCAGTTGTCAGTGTTGCTAAGCTTTTTGTCATCTACTCTTTGATCTGATGGAGTGCAATTGTTATGAGCCAGACTACAGATAATGAAGCTAACTTTGGATTGTATTAATCTAGGGTCAGACCAACACTCACCAATGGAGAAGGAATGAGTCATTTGTACATCCATCTTAATTGTAGGAAAAGCGTTTCAAGTCAGAACATTTATTTTGTTTATCTTTCAATATTGTCAATGTTTTCCCCTATCATTTATCATTCAAACTGTTTTTAACAACATTTGATGATTATTTTTTTCTTTTATTCTTTTCTTTTGATGACTTACTTACTGACCAAAACTACCAAAAGATAGATGATTTTTAGTACACAACCCAGACTTGAATGTTTACTCACTATGAGACAGTTTACTGACGTTTGCACAAAGAGTAGTAATAACTAGTATATTACAAAAACAAATATTAAATGAATTTCATAGTGGACATCCAGGACTTTCAAGGATTGAAACCTCTTATGAGAGGCTATGTATACTGGACAAAAATGGATCGCAACATTGAACAATTAGTAAAACCCTGCTGAGATTGTACTCTGGCAGCAAAATCACCTACTACAAAATTACAACCTTTGCCAAAGACAGATATTCTGTGGTCAAGACTGCACATAGATTTCGCAGGTTGAATAAATGGATCGCATTATCTTGTGGTAGTAAATAGCTTTACTAAGTGGTCTGAAATTTGTAAGTGCAAAAAACTAATTTTCATGGTTACAGTGAATTATTTACACAAACTGTTTGCAAGATATGGCATTCTGGATGCCATAGTCTCAGATAACAGAACACAATTCACTGTTTACGAATTTAAAGAATTTTGTAAATTTGTTTTCAACTGAATATATTGTAGCCGTCACGCCAAAAAGGACCCGCAAAAACAGGGCAGTTGTCTCTCGGCGCCCTTGTCAGCTCCCTCAGCCTCCGCTACCAAAAAGTTCAGACACACTCATTTTATAGACCATGATGAAAAAACCAATTGGTTGAGCGGGAGAGTTTATATATGTGTAGGTGCACTATATTAATTTTCTTTTCTTTTAATTGCACTGCAACACCATACGCATGTAATGCATAGACGTTTTCAGGCATGATGTCAAGTATCTTGCTCATGACAATTACACATTACTACTCCAACATATCACTCAAGGTCAAATGGACAAGCTGAACAGTTTGTGGGTACTTTTATGAAAGCAAGTAATGAAAAAGTGAGCAAAGAAGCACTACAAAAGTTCTTGAGAGTATAACAGATAACACCGAATCCTAATACACTGGCAGGCATATCATTGGCAGAATTGAATGTTTGAGAAGTTGTTACAAGGTCAAAAAAAGAATTTAAGAATGGACAACAAAACCAAAACAAAATTTGTCAAAATTAGCGTAAAAGTGTTTTTCAGTGTATATAAAAATAGAAAAGAAATGTGGGAAGACAGTGTAATAAAGCCATAAATTGAAAAAATGATAAAAGGTGAAAAGGAAAAAAAAATGACAACACAAAAGGCATTGGAATCAGTTAAAGAAAAAGTTTTACTGAAGAAAGGTATCCAAGAAAGAACCTATATAAGTACTGCATGATATTTTTGATGTACTAACACCCCAAGAATTCACTGAACATATAAGTATGATTACCAGAAAAAGGAATTGTATGGAAAAACTAGGTTGACCCAAAACGAAAGAAATACAAACTTCAGAACTCAACAGAAAGAGGAGGAGGTGAATACTAAAAAATAAAATAATATATTACTAATAAGAAAATCTCAAATCAAGCATTTTTTGAACATACAAGTATGATTACCAAAAAAAGGAAACGTAAAGAAAAACAATAGGTTGACCGAAATGAAATACAAAGTTTAGTATGTAGCAAACTTGACAGAAAGAGGAAGAGGGGGTGAATACTAAGAAATAAAATATTTACTAGGGGAAAAAAAAATTTCAAAAGGGGGTTGTTGTGGAGTAAATAAGATACCCAAGTCACACAAATGAACTAGGCAAGCCACCTTAAATAAAGAATTCAAAGTGAGTCAAGGAAGTCCACTGGAGTCAGGCGAGGAAAATTTCTAATGATGTCACGGTGAGTAGCCTAAGCACGATATAATATTATAAGCATTCGGAGTGAGAATACCAAAAATTAATGTCTTTTCAGAGAAATTTAAATATCTTTTTAAAATTATATGATATATGTAAATGAATTTAGTTTCCTATCTAAGCCCTTGAAAAGATAAGTTTGAACATTTTATTTTTTTGTCTACTATATATGAAAAGATATATTCTTATTAAAATTTTAATGGATATATAAACCATAGAAAGAAAAAATAATTTGGAATTTATTCAGATTTTAATTTCTATAATGATACAGTTGAAGTAAAAATCAAGCGTGCTGATCAGTAACAAGAATCACTAGTTGATGTATTTTGAGAAAAATAATAAAACTGTAAATTTTAATTAGTGTGGTAGTGGTTGGTTAGTGTAACTACTAATTAACATATGTGTATGAGTAGGTAAGTTGGAATAGACTTGGACTGTAGAATGAATACTGACTGTACACAAATACAATCCCTACTTAGAAATACCATAACAATATAATACCCAACAGGATATTTGTTGCATGTAGAAGACCCAGACTTTGTTGAAACTTGGATAAGGTGCTTTGCAGCCCTTCAAAACAAAGAAACTACTGGACAACAGAATAAATGGAAGTGAAAATAAAATCACAAACTTATTTGTGGCAACAGTTATGAAGCTGTTAGGAAGATTTCGTTGATGACTTATCCAACGGAAGTGGAAGAATTGACATTTAAGCAAATTAAAGAGATTATTTTAAGGAATATTTGACCAGGGAAAAGGTCAGCCATTGCCGAACAAACCAAGTTCTAGTCATTAAAACAAGAATACGAGAAACCCATTATGAAATTTTTGCATCGGCTACAAGACACCAGCGGATATATTGAAGAGGAACTGGTTCAATTAAGATTCATAGAAGATGTGTGCAATATTTTGCATAGATTCAAAATGGTTGCAATTAAACCAAATGTCATTAGAGGCATGTATCAGATTTATGCAACAGAAAGAGTTGATTGAAATATTCAATAAGAAAAAAAAAAAAAAATCTTTCGGCCGTTGTACACTCTAGCCTTCTTCAGGTGGTTGGAATGTCGAACTGAACCCTTTATTTCGCTTACTGAGGTAAACTGTTCTACTTCCACGTGCCATATTTAATGGATGTCAATTATCAGTTATCTCCTGTTAATTCCCCTCTCCAAGTTCTCCACTGCCTTAACTGGGTATTGAACTCACACTCTTTGGGTCCTGTCACTGGATCTGACCAACGCCTTTATCCACTGTGCCAACAGGAGATAACTGATAACTGACATCCATTAAACATGGCACGTGGAACTAGAACAGTCTACCCCAGTGAGCGAAATAAAGGGTTCTGTTTGACATTCCAACCACCTGAAGAAGGCAGCACACAACGTCCAAAACGTTGTGATCAATATGGTGACAAAGATGAGTACAATAGCCCGAATAATGTAAATAGTGTACATAATACCTCATCTCAGAAATATAGACAGATACTGAAAGGCCGAAACGTTGTAATAAATATGGTGACAAAGATGAGGACAATATTCCGAATAAT